TAGTTTTTTATGGTTGAGCAATATATATTACTATAAACATCATTGGTGTCATTGTGTGATCTGAATTATCGACTGTCGACGTCCCCTGGGCACAGAAGCGCCATCTTAATTGTATACATTTTGAGGGATACTTTTTGTATACAGAGATTGTTCTCCTTTCCTCTACCCTCCATACATTACAGTTAAGTATACAGCTATTTGACATATTTCAAATGGTTGCTCCTTTAATAAATGTTTCACTCAAAGTTAGAATTACAGCTTCATGATCGGGTTAAATTAAAATTTTCTTCAACTTTAGTAAAGTTAGGAAAAACTTTTCTTGGAATAAAAATCTAACAAGTCAGTGATTTTGTTTAGATCCGTGAGCCAGTAAAGTAGGTTTACCTGTGGCATGATAATTGGCTTTTCTTAATTCGCTACCTTTGGTCGTAGTTAATCTAGATCCCAGTCAACATGTTAAGCGTTTAAGCCTCCTTCCCCCCCTCCTACGACGATAAATCTCTCTCCAGGATCTTGCCGAAGGGTTATATAATAGGCTTCTTTCTTAAGATTCTGCCCGGGTGGATAGCAAACTGCACCAATTTTAAATTTCTGTTGAGTAGACTTACTGCCTACCACTGTTAATGCCTGTTGTGACATTATTCAAAATGATGAATTGAGTATTTAGTTATATATGTGGCTTGATAGTCTGGATAAATTGTATTGTATATTTTATAACCTTTTATCTTAATATACGACTGACTTAGGTATTAAGAAAATTGCCCATAGACATAAGACAAAAAAAAAACATCAACATTAAAGTACTTTTAGATTATCACGGCATAGTGCATAGACTTAAAAGAGTCAAACCTTTTCAGCTTGTGTAAGTGAAGTAATGCTGTTAAAGCAAAGTTAGTACTATGAGCCACATTATCGAAGTATCCAGAATATGTTAATAACTAGTATTGAAGAAAGGTGAAATTTAAATTTAAAATTAATAGTAAATTAGGTTATTAAAAAATGGTTTAAGATTAGTTGCACTCTAAAAAAGGCGTATTTAGGTATAAGAACCTGAGTCGGACTTGGCTGAGTCGTCCTTGAACGAAAATATAAGTTCGGTTATAACTTTTCTAAAGTTCCAGGTGGTTCCGGTGTTGAACTGGAATTCAGAGATGGGCCATAACTGTTAACATTTACGAATTTGTTACTACATATCTAAATTCACGCGGTAGAACCAATGAACTGGAGGGGGGTAGAATGCCAATGTACATGTTGTATAGAGAAAGTAAAAGTTGAAAAGTCTTTTGGTAGGTAGAGAGGGGGTAAACGTCAAACCACGTCGGGCAGCTCCGAGAATTTCACAGTAATGTTTACCTGCCAGTGTCGTTTCATAGAATAAGTAATTTTAAATTGTTATCGGCGGAACCGGACAATCGCATGTATTTATGGATTATAAATAATTATTTAACATGTATTATAATATTCAAATTATAATTTTACAAAATTTGAGCAGCTATTCACAATTTATTAAACTATTTACTCGAAATTGTTATTAACATCTATAAAATAATTTTGTACGCCAATGTATCGCGTCCACTTCGGTGAGATCCGGTGCCAACCTGTCAATTTATGTGTATAAAGTGGGAGAACTGGCAAAAGCATTTCCAACTTTTACTTCTGTTCTACTATTAGAACTAGATGCGACTCTATGGGCGCAGCCATTTTTATTTTTCATCTCACTCGGGACTATTTATAATAACCATTTTCTGTTTCACATTGTTATTGTTCAATCCACAAGCTGGTGAATCAGACAATAACAATGTGAAATAGAAAATGGTTATTTTAAATAATCCCGAGTGAGATGAAAAATAACCTATCTTCGCCCATAGAGTCGTATCCAGACAAAAAAGGGGCCGGGACACCCACTTGCTCTGGAAAGTGATCTCGAAGAACTAAATGGGGCAATATTTGAGGCATATGAATCAAGCTGCCCCATTCAAAGAAATAGAACTAGTAGGGATGCTCCTTGGTGGAACCGTCATCTGTCAAACTTACGATCCGAAGTGCGGAAGCTCTATAATAGGGCCGAGCACAGCAGAGATTGGCAGAGCTACACCGAGGCGCTTACTACCTACAACAAAGAAATCAGGAAAGCTAAACGTAACAGCTTTAGAAAATTCTGCGAGGATATTAACTCTACACCTGCGGCAGCGAGACTACACAGGGTCTTGGGAAAAGGGAGAGTTGATACAGTTATGGCATTAAAGAAACCAAATGGAAGCTTCACGGAGCGTGAGGAGGAAAGAGCTCGCCTCTTACTCGAAACTCACTTTCCTGGAAGCACACCTTTTCTAATAAGGGACACAACTAAGGTAAGCAGACCCCCAAGAGAGGCCGCTGTAGTGGCCAAGCACATATGTAGCAGAAATTGGTTAAGGTGGGCCGTAAACACTTTTGAACCGTTTAAGTCTCCAGGTGTGGATGGAATATTTCCTGCCCTGCTTCAGCAGGCACAGGAGGAATTACTACCACACATAATCCGGCTATCCCGGAGCAGTCTGGAGCTGGGATATATACCAGAAGCATGGAGAAGGGCCAGAGTCACCTTTATTCCAAAAGTAGGGAAAAAGGATACCACACATCCTAAATCTTTCCGTCCAATCAGCCTCACATCCTTTGTATTAAAAACAATGGAGAAGGCTGTTGATAATTATATCAGAACAGAAGTCCTGGAGAGGGTGCCACTCCACCACAGCCAACACGCGTACCGAGCAGGAAGATCTACAGAAACTGCCCTGGTAGAGTTGACTGATGTAATCCAGGATGCACTGACAAACAAAGAAACGGTCGTGTGTGCCTTCCTAGACATAGAAGGAGCTTTTGACAACACACCACACGAATCTGTAAAAAGAGCACTTGCATACAGAGGAGTAGATAACACCACATCCAGATGGATGGCTCAGCTGTTATCTACGAGAACTGCAGAGACACAGATAGGACAGGACACCATCTCCATCTGCACAACCAGAGAATGTCCACAAGGAGGAGTTCTATCCTCACTAATGTGGAGCCTAATCGTAGACGAACTTCTATGTTGATTGACTGACCTCGGCATACCCCGTCAAGGTTATTCCGACGACATAGTCATATTTGCTAGTGGCAAGTTTAGTAATATCCTGTGTGATATAGTCCAACGAGGACTAGAACATACCAAAAGATGGTGCCGTGAAGTGGGACTTAGTATAAACCCTACAAAAATAACACTAGTAGCCTTTTCAAGGAAAAGAAAACTTAATCTCAAAACCGTTAAATTAGACGGGATAGATATAGAATGGAAAAATGAAGTCAAATATCTAGGCCTAACCCTGGATAACAAACTTCTCTGGAACACACATGAGAAGGAAGTAGTAAATAAGGCCACAAAAGCCCTAATGGTATGCAGAAACATCACTTACGGGGCTATAGCCTGGAGTAACAGAACTAGTTTAGTTACTACGAGAGCTAATATCTCAAAAGTACAAAGACTAGCCTGTGTTTGCATTACTGGTGCAAGGAGAACCTGTCCTACGGCCGCAATGGAGATGATCTTAAACCTCACCCCTCTACATTTGATGATAGAGAATGTGGCAAAAAGAACACGATATAGAATGATCAGGAACGGAGTAATCAGACGAAAGTCTACTTGCTTTAGGACTAAAGATACCTGGGACATGCCCCAGGATGAAATGCAAAAGAAGTACAGTTTTGTGAAAAACTTCAAAACCACAGAGCTGGGCTGCAAAAAAGAATGGAGCCAAGAATCCATCGCGCTTGCAACCGAAAGACGTGCTATTCAGTGGTATACGGACGGTTCCAAAACCATAGAAGGAACTGGAATAGGAGTGTATGAGCCGAGAACCAAGCACTCCGAAAGCTTGGAAAAATACCCAAGCATCTTCCAGGTGGAAATTCACGCCATCGAGAAGTGTATCCAGTTTACCATCGAGAGAAACTATCATAGACAAGAGATTATCATCATGTCCGATAGTCAAGCAGCCATCAAAGCCCTGAGTTCTTACGTAATCAGCTCAAAAATGGTCTGCAGATGCCTAGAACAATTGAATGAGCTAGGCGAGAAAAATAGAGTTACTCTCACTTGAGTTCCGGGACATAACGGGATACAGGGTAACGAGATTGCATAGTCTTGCAAGCAAAGGGGCTCAAACACCCTTTGTAGGACCTGAGCCGTTCTGCGGTATCAGCAGTAACATAATATTAGGAGAGATTAAAAAAGAATTGGGTAGTAGAAGAACCGATAATTGGAACAATCTCTTGGAGCTGAGACAGGCCAAGATACTTCTGGGCGAATACAACCAGAAAAGATCGGAAGCTTGCATCTGCCTAAGCAAGAACAGGCTACGTATTGTAACAGGGATCCTTACCGGGCATTGCCGACTAAAAGGGCACCTAAGTAAACTGAGAGTAGTAGAGGATAGTGAGTGCAGATTCTGTGAGGAGGAGGACGAAACATCCATTCACATCCTAACTGAATGTGTAGCACTCCAGAATCCAAGGGCACTATATCTAGGAGAATATCAAATAGAAGAGGGAGATTTACCTAACTTGAAGCCACTTCAAATCCTACACTTTCTTAAGAAAATAGGATTGGAAGGGTCGCTATAGACATTGAGACATTTTCTTAGTGCAGTGGCGACAGAAGGGGGCACAATAGATCTTTTAGGTCGCAGTGTATTAACACCCCATTCTCAACATAACATAACATACCATAACAGAGTCGCACAAGTCTATTGACACGCATTCTACCCCACTCCAGTTCATTGGGTAGAACCGGCCTTCGATTGTTCTTCAAGGACGACTCAGCTGAGTCGAATCAACTGAGATATGTTTATAAATACAGGCCTATACCTTGCATTAGGAAGGTCAGTGCATCTTGCTATCAATAGAACAGCGTGGCAACGTTTTCTAATAGATCTATTTGCAAAGCTTGATTAGGGTTAGCAAACTAACATTTATTGACTTACCTGGTGCTCCTTGTACCAAAACACCTTCTCCCGAGACCTGTATCAGATGTCCATCCCAATACGCTACTTCAAATACTATATTTCCATTAAAAGTGACTATTGAACCTTTTTGCAAGTCCAGTTTTAACTGCACTCCTCCTGGAACTGTTAGATTTGAAATAACTATGTCCGTACATTCTCTAAGTACTCTTTCGACTTGAGAAAATTCTGTAATAGTACAATTATTAGTTTGCTGACTAGTAACAAACACCGAAGAAAATATTACGATAAAAATTTTTAAACGTAAATGAAACATTATTCTGTTGGAGGTTTTTTAAATGATTAAATATCGACTGCACCTATTATGTTCTAAATTTATAATGTTATCATTATCTGTAGTTAAATATTCAATATTTGTAATAGCGATTAGAACAAAACGTACGTATATCTGATAGATAATGATTGAAGAACATTTTGAACTAAATAACGAACATTATTGGTCAATTTAAAGGCATGTTAAATTAAGTGAAAAGTTCCATACAAAAATAATAGCTGCTTGACCCCCGTCATGAATGAAGGCCCTTTTATAACCGAAATTGGGTTAAAATCATTTAACAGCCATAATGTTACAAGGAAATGCATTTAAATTATTGTCAGTAGGTTGAATTTGGTCGACAATGTAATGCACTAGTTAATTATATTTTGTACATTTATTTGGACATATAAATTTTTTTAGATCCTAGATTTTTCACAGGAGAAGATTTGACAACACAGCGTAAAATAATAAAAGTTAAACTGTCGCAGCAGGCATTTCAAACAAAACGGCTGCCAGTGGGTAATGACAGGTTATGATGATATGGCAACCCTGTGGGCCGGATGGCATATTCGTATACTGCCGACACGTTAGGCCCTCGGAATAGTTCGATGCCGCGAATGACAAACTCGTAAAATTCCGACGTGTTAGAACTAATACGTCGGCGATTTACTGGACACTGGATATTAATCTTCACTCATTAAAGATAGAGACAATTTTAGTTTCCCATTTCTATTGTCTATATATTATGCAAGTCTCTGCAGATTATTTTTTAATTTATTATTTGTGACATAATATGTGATTTTAAATAAATAAAGTTGGTACCTAATAAATTCAAAATGAATTTAAAGACAATACCTAATACTTCCTATAAAGAGAAAATACAATTGTGTTACAAATAAGTGACAAAAATGAATTTGATGTGTTTTTTTAATGTAATAAATCATTAATAGTTTGGCGGCATTTTGCAGAATTCTTGTGAATCTGCATAGTCACTATTAGCTAGAGTTTACAAGTAACGTTTATAAATGTTTTGAAATTCTCGTCGGAAGTTTCATTTTTTTTTTTTTAAGTTTGGAGAGTATGATCTGAAAGTAATAAAAGTAACAAAGACTCTTGTTGATAATGATTACAATTAATTAACCTATTTATTTAAAATAAAAGTAGAAATAAAAAAGGCACGTATGGTAACACAATACAGTATATTGCTTAACGAGCAAGGAATTGTACTCATTTTCTAGCAGTATAATAATATTGTTATCATATGAGGAAATGAAATTATACGTCACATAATGTAGATGTCACATTAATTCTTAGCCGAAAAGTGTGAAATTGTAGTTTTGTCGTAGAGTCGTACAAAATAAAACCTATAGCCGGAGAGCTAGTAACACACATTTCATTAAGTGTTTGATGCACTTTGATATTTAATCTCAATAACTAAAAAATATACGGACAAATAATTTGACAGACACTTATTTAAAATATTAAAAATAATAGTAGTTGGGTGTTCAAAATGGGAACCGTGATTGGTGGATTCCATTTTTTGCAGTATTTTCACTACCTAGAATGGATATGAAATATATTCGTTCAGTTAAACGCAATAGAATATTTTTTCGTTTTGTAATCTGTACGTACATAAACCAATATCTATGTGGGCGTAGAAAAATTAAGTTCTATTCAAATTCACCTTTATTCGCGTATAAAATAATATTAAATTACAAAAAATCCTGCTCACTATCTAATCACTTAAAGTGATCATTAATGACAAATTACCGATTATATTTTTTAAGTACGTCCTTAGATTGTTGTTTGGGTGGCAATCGGAGTTTTTAAATTAAATATGATCTCAATTTTTGATAGGATCCGTATTTAAACTTAAATTATTTGAAAATTGTTTTTTTTTTAAGTATATATTCAATAAAGAAACAAATATATACTAGATGATAATTTGAAAACGAACAGTATTTAATATTTCTTGAATTGATGATATGCCACTATGTAAATTTGGCAAAATACGTCAATTTACATATAAAGGTGGACAACTGAGGTATTTTTTGTTGAAAATGGTGAATTTAACCCTTAACTACCATGGTGAAAATCTGTAACGTTTACACCATGGCATGGTCAAATTTGACCACCCAATTTTTTTTGCCCTTATTGTTTTCCTTTTTTTATATTTGACCTGGAAAACGCTAAGGCAACTGTCTTAAAGGCAAAAAAAAATCAAATAAATAGTTTATGCAAAAATTTTAATACGTAAAAAATTAACATAAAATTAACATAACAATATTCTTTATAATTTTACAAAAAAAAAATATATTTATAGTCGCTTATGAAGGTTGCCTAGTAGTTTTAGTGTTTTGTGGCCCCTCCCTATAACAATAAAAACAAATATTGTTTTTTTTTTGTTTAAAAAATGACAGGCATGTTTTAGACCTCACCTGTCAATGCACATTTAAGCTCTAAAGGAAGACTTGGAGAACCGGGGCTTCATGGTTCCTCCCTATAACATTAAAAACAACAGGCCCACAAATGCTTTCATTTCAATGATGTCCAAATGATTTGTGTACTGGCAAGAAATGTTATGCATGTTATATAAGTTATCATTTCGTTAGTTCTTTCGACTATTATCTGCAGCTTATCGTCATCAATTATACATTCCCAAGCCTGAATTGATTCTATTGTCAGTAATTTTACCTTCATCCCCATCAGAACTATCACTGATAACAACGCTGCCTTCTATAAAATTGTCTATGTCACTTCCATTATCTTCAATATCTATTTCTTGTTCAGAGTCGGTTTAGTGGCTGCTATGTTCACTTTCTTGGTTAGAAAATTCTTCATCGCTATCTAATTCATAGTCCATAATCCTTTAAGGGTCTTGTTCAAGCTCTTGTTGTGTTAAAGGCTTTTTATCACGATAACAACCGTCCATTTTGCACTGTTAGCGCAACTCGATTTTGTAACACTCAAAACATGAGAGGGTCAAATTTGACCCTATACGCCGATAACTCCTCGGAGACTAAATGTTAACTAAAGGCGTTCCAGCGCATCGATAGACCAGCAACCGATTAAGGATTAGATGAAGGGGGGACGTACCGCTTTCAATTCTTTATATGCAAAATTTACCGTGCAAAATGTGTAGGGTCAAATTTGACCCCGCCATGGTACTTAAGGGTTAATATATCGTAGGTCGCAAATCAAAAACCGAAAGGTCACAATTATCTGAAATAAATTGTAAAATAATTTTAAATATACACCTATGCTGTATAGAAATATTTAAAGATTTGAGAACGGACTTGAAACGGCGCTTAGCCCGAATTAGCACATCACACTGTCGACTGGGAATCTCGACAGTCAATGTCGCGATGGTCTTAGAGGTAGGGTATTTGTGTACAGATGTATGGGTTCGAATCCTGGTGCTGATAGGTTTTTTAAATCTCCAAGTATGGGTTTTCACCATTGGAGTTTCAGGGATAGTCTTAATAATTCGTAGCGGAATTTTTTAGATTTGTTTCCGAATTCTTAAATTATTCTACAACTTATTTCAGGTAATTATTCTGACCTTTAGGAGTTTGATTTGCGATCTACGATATATTAAATTCACAATTTTTATACTCAGGTTTACGTTGTTTACCGCGCAAACTTAACTCACGCAGACGAAGATATGGGCTTAGTATGCATCAAAATGCATTTCTCATATACATCGATGCTGTATAGAGATATTTGAAGATTTGATAACGAATTTTGGCCTGAATTTTTTTTAGAGTTATGGTCTAGGTGTATAAGAGAAAGTGGAGGAATTGTGCACACTTAAGCAAAAATCGTTATAGCAAAAGTGCTCTTGCGCACCATTGCCGGTCGTTGTGGGTAATGGTGTGCAAGTGTTGGGGAATCGTGCGCATTAAAAGTATTAAGTATAAGATAAAACCAACACTAACTTTAAAAACATTTATTGAAGTTGTGGAACATAAAAAAAACATTATACTGACTCCTAATTTGAGCATGAGTCACATTTATAATTTTTCGGGGTATCTGAGTCAGTACATTCGGCATGGTTCAAAGTTGAACAAAGGATACATCTGTATCATAATTGTCGTTATTTACCAAATTCACCGCAAATACCACAAACTTAGGTTGGTTTCACTGGCTGATTCAAAGGTGGTGGTACGAAGCTCAGCCGAACATCATCTTCAATATCATCCAGCTCATCGTCGACACAAATATCTGACACATCATCTTCTGATGAATCAGATGATTCAGACGTTGGCGGTCTCTTTTGTTTGCCTTTGAATTTCTTTGAAGACGACGGAATTGATAATTTCACCGTCCAAACATTTACGATTAACTCCTTTACTATTCTTATCTTTCAGTTTTTCTTTCGTTTTTAGAGCTTCTTCTCGTTGTCTCTTTTCTCTTCAGCTTCTTTTAATTTTGTTTTGATGGGAGTGCTCGTAAGAATTTCCGATTTCTCTTTGTTCCTAGATTTTCGTTGCCTGGTTAACTTTTGGTGTTGGAGCCATAGCAAAGAAAGAATTATTATGACAGAGTTGACTGAATGCTCGGATCTCTCTGATGTAAATCTGAGTGACTAACTGGAATAGTTGCTTCACCATCTTGGCTCGATGAAGTTTCAATTCAGGTGTTGCTTCTACTGTAAGTTTTCCTAAATGGTGCTAGGTTCAAAATCAGCATCGGTAAATTTGCCGAGATCCAGTGGAAATATTCCAGACGTCCGAAACTCTGAAACTTCTTTTTTCATTGTAGCCACTTTCATGAAGGCTTTGTTTAAAAGTTCGGCTGCGTCGTATTTCGTTATTTTTTGATGACCGGTATTTGACAAGTAAAAATCATATTCCCTAAATAGTGTATTTTTCAGAGGGCTAAAAGATGTCAGGTCCAGAGCTTGAAGGTGAACAGATGTGTGTGGAGGAAGCGAGACCATGTGAATGTTATTTTCTTTGCAGAAATTATAAGCTGCAATTGAAATGTGGCTGAAATGGTTATCCAGGACCAAAAGGAGAGGATCAGTAACAGTAGGCTTAGCATGCCTCTTAAAATGACCCAGCCACTGAAGAAAAAGTCCGGAAGTGATCCTACCGTTCTTAGAATATTTGTACAACGCCCCAATTGGTCCATTTTTCTCAAGAGTTTTGGGCATATTTTTCCTAAGATATATTATCATGGGAGTTATGTAGTTCCCAGCCACATTCATACAAAATGCAGTTGTTATTGTTTTCCTCTTTCTCCAGAAATTGCAGTTCCTACTTTTTTAGATCCCTTACGACCATAAACGTGGGGTATTTGTTCTGCACCGTGGTCAAACTTAAACCTTTCCATGATAGTTTGAAGGTATAAAAAAAATAATTTGGTTGAGTCCTTATTAAAAGATGCAATCCTATTCAAACTGGTTTCCTTCAGGCTGCCGTAACTTTATATCAGGTGATCTCCTTAAAAATCCACGCAGCTAGTCCTTTTCAGCTAAACCGTTTTACTTGTCGAATTTACGTGCAATGTCATGTTGCTCAGCATATCTTAAAGCTAGTTGCCTAAGATACCCGGGTGTTAGGTCATAATATATCTTTGCTAGCGTTAAAACGTACTCTATTAACTCAGATTCTATTTCCTTTGAAAACACAGGCTTGCATCCCAAACGAGGAGGCTTCGGCATATTTTCTGACAGTTTTTTCTAACTGTCGATTCAGGAATATTGAAGGCCCTTCCTGCATCCCTTATTTTTCTGCCATCATTTTTTATCACAAATAATGCGTTTTGTAAATCTTTTTCCTTATATGAAGGAATTGTGGTTTTCCTTGTATAATTTCTCGGCATCTGAAAAAATATTTAAAATTAGATTCCGTGTGGGGTGATGGTACGCATCAGCGCGCATCATTACCTCTTTAGACATTAAATGATAATCAGTAATACAGCAAACTACATGACTTAGCAATGTAAAACAAGCATCAATAGATGCAAAAGATCATACTTTTCCATAAAATAAATATATCTTATCGATTAAGGAAAAAAGTAGACTCACCGTCTTATTTTCCGATGTCAAAACATTACAGAAACAGGCTGGATTTCAAATAAACAGGGCTCGCTCCATGCAAACGTAAACAACTGATGCGAGTAGTGTTGCACAGTAGAAAGGAGAGAGCATGGCACTGGCGCTTAAAAGCCCGCGAAATATGAAATAGTTTGATGCGCACGATTACCCGATGTGCACGATTCCCCCACTCTCCCTTATACCTAATATTCCAGTCTCAAATTTATGTTTAAATTCTCAATCATGTGTGTTCTGTGTAGGCTGTTTCCCAGCGCCACTTCAGGAACATCACTGTTAATTAGAACCCAACAGTAAATGGTCGAGTGTGGAATCCTACCAAGGCATCAGAAATAATTTTAAATAATTAAATTAAATTAAAAAAATCCCGGCCAACGGTGGGATTCGAACCTGGGATCCTTGGATCCGCAGGCAGAGACTCTACCACTGAGCCACCCACTCCCCTTGGCCTGAATTAGCACATCAAACTGCCAGCTGGGAATCTCGACAGTCAATATCGCGATGGTCTCAGGGGTAGGGCATTTGTAAACAGAACAAAGATGTCTAGGTTCGAATCCTGGCGCTGACAAGCTTTATTTCAACTCTCCAAGTATGAGTTTTCACCTTTGGAGTTTCGGGGATGGTCTTAATAATTCGTAGGCGGATTTTTGAGATTTGTTTTCGAATTTTCAAATTATCGTATTACATTAAATCCGCTCACCTGCCCCTAAAATTTAAAATAGCAAAAGCAAGTCAGTGTAAAATATTCAACATTTACATGATACAATATAGAACAGTCGAATATCGATTAAACATCAAATGTTTACAGTGCCTTAAATGATATACACCAAAAAAATATACCATTCGACAAATTACAGTACAGTTATCGAATTTTAAACGGCATAAAATACACAACATAGCCTTCGACACTACCTGTATTCCACCGTTGATTCCACCTGACCAAATTGGTTAAAAGTAAAACTAATAACTTCAGCTGTAACTCCAAAACAATGCATTTGACAAAATCCACAATTATATTGACATTAAAGGCCTTTAAAAAATGCAATGTCCATTATATTTCTTGTTTTCCCAGACCATGTAGTATATGGGTATTGTTGAAGAATTTTATACAATAACTATCTACAACATATAAATTATAAAAGGCAGTAAGGCTTGGTAATATTAAATACCTAGAATAAAGGTTAATAATGCTTGGCATTCTTTTTTTATGCTCTCCCTTAACCCCCATTTTTATTCAGATTTTTTCAGAATCAGTAGACTTCATTCCCTTATAAAGCTTGATTTTTTTTGATATCGTTTTTTGTTTATGAGTCAGGATTTTTTAAATATTTTAAGCGCCCTTATACACCCATTTTTCAATTAATTTATTTTTTCTTGTATCTAATTGTTATTAGGCATTCCAAACAAAATGGTGGGTTGGTATATCTATGGGGTTGCAGCATAGGATGAATTCTATCTACAATACATAAAATCATGAATACAGGATTAAATTTAAAAATATATAATGTCGAACACAATAAAAATATTTAAAAAAAGCCGTTTATACATTTTTTATAAATTGGCAGACTTGGCGACTACTATTTTGAATAAAAATGGCGTCCAAGATAGAAAAATATGTCGTAACCCCCTTAGATATACGAGCCCTTCCCACCGGCAGTTACTGTTTGACAAGTTGCTGCTTTCTTAAGTTTACAATATTTCACACTTTCTAATAATTGATCTATATTGTAATATACTACTAGTCAATGAATTTAAAGAAATTACAATTTTCATTTTTTGTTTCATATTTTTAATCTTCCTGTAGATATCAAATGTTTCTTGGCACAATTTTAATGAGCACAAAACTGCGTCTAATTTAACCACCTTTCTATCTGTTACCGTTTAAGAAATAGCAATACTGACCCTATGAAATAATAAGGGCTCCTGTATAAACAGGGCTGTCTTTGTCAAATCGTTGATATGGATATCGACTACGGTAGCGTAGGTGTCTACGGCGCGTCATTCATTTGTCAGACAATTTTCTGGTAAACGAGACACGGTTTCAGTTCCTACGGAAGACCATGTGAATTTATTTGCATGGTTCTCTATAGGATTTGATGGATGCCATATTAGCAGAAATTTAATTTCTGTTGATATGATATCCAGATTATTAAAATAAAATCACCATGCGTTACCGTTTTCGATGATGGTGGATGGGGTTTTCCGGGTTTTCCTTACCTGTAAGTCAAATGGGACCATCAATCTTTAAGTCGCCTTGGAGCGCCATGGCAAATAATAATAATAGCCGTCTCTTTCCTTGCACAAGCTCAGCTTTTGGGGTTAAAATTCACTCGCAAGGGGATGAATTAGGGAGAGTATTATCTACAAATAAATTGTTTCGTCCATTTTTTTAAAGGGAGAGTGAGAAAACAAAACAGAAGATTTAAGTAAAAGAAAGTCCAAAATTGTCAGTTTCACGTAGGAAATTACATAACTTCGGAATCTAAAGTACCAAACGCTTTTGTTCAGAAATTTATAAATTTTATCATTTCTTAAAAAGAAAAGTGCGGGGGGTCATTTTTAGAGGGGGGAGGGAGCACCCTCTCTATTTTTCCTCATCACTATAAATCCTGCAACAACAAGCCACACGTGTTGCAAGTAAATAGAATTAGAATCATAAAAACACTTTATAGATAACATTGTTATTGATAGAAAACTTTGATATTTTTTTATTTTTACCAATTTTCTTAGAAATACAAAATATGCAAAGGTCAAAAACAGTGGCACAATCTTAAAGGTATCTAAAAATTTTATGTATTAAACTATTATAGGTATGGACATAGATTATAAATCATTAGCCACAAATTGCACAGAAAAGAAATATATTAAGCTAACCATTACTAGAAAACCTCGCGAAAAACAATTGCATTAGAAATTAATTAAAATTGATTTTTTAAACAAAATATTCTGTCGAGGCATTATAATAAATTGGCGACCTGTTGGAGACAAAATTTGGTTTTATTAAGCAATAAAATATCTTTAAAAATAATAAAATCTGTTTTTTCAGATAGATTGGTGTTATTGCATATTTGAATGTAATTTTTAATTCTAATGAACTTTTCTTTATGAAAATTTTCAATTTTGTCAAAAATAAATGTACTTTACTCCTGAGCAAAATTCATATTTTTTGACAAACCTGTATACGGCTTGAACAATTTAATATCTGATGACTGTATTTTAAGTTTTGGGTCATGCAGGACTTTTTATCAAGAATAATTTTTTTTTTCTTAAAATCAATAATAATTTTTTTTCCATATGGTTGCAACTTAAGTAGTATATATAATTATATTCCACAAAGAATTATATAGGTATTGGTTATGGATTTAAAAGAAAGGACACCTGAATAATTATTTAAATATCGGACTCTGGATTTGATTAGATAGGTGGACTCGGGGTTGTTCCTCTTTACGGAACTCGAGCTGAACTCAACAACTCGTAACACACATAAGATAATTATTGATGATTGTAATGAATGAAAAACTCATATTGATGCTTTTAATTCTTTATTTTTCTTCTTTTAATAGATTATAGTAAAGGGCATAGTAAGTTTTTTTAAATTAATTCAATACAGAACAATTGATGGAAGAGATATGATAACATAGGAAGAGCGTGCTATGGGAAAGATGTTGCGGACACATTTAATAACAAGACGTATCTATTCTATCCGATATCTTTGTACTAGACCGATGAGAATTTTAATTAATGTTCATTTAATTTTTTTAGTTAATTTTGATTGTTAATTACAATAAGTATAATAATTAAACGTAAACTAAAAATATGATTTTGAAATGTAAACTATCCTAGGCGATACGCCAATGATATTCTTTTTTGTTAACAATATTTATAATATCGTGAATAGTTATCTCATTATGATTTCAATCTAAAGTGATACAGATTTTAAAATTGATAATATACTTAAATATAAAAGAGTGCACTTTTTGCATAAAAATAATAATCACAATTGTATGTATTAATTTAACTAAATATAAAATATATATTTTATGAAAAAAATGTTCACCCTCCTATTAATAGGACACGTTTTGACTTTGATATCTGCAACGTCATCAGTAGCAGTTGCCAACTACTCCAGTTCTTGTACCATTTCCCAGTTTTCCGATGTTAAAAGAGTAACTAGCAGTTGTAATAATATAGTAATCAAAGATCTGCGTGTACCTGGTGGAAAACAATTAAAATTAGACCTGAAAAGAGGCTCAAAACTGGTTTTCGAAGGCACTACTGTATTTGATGTCGCACACTGGCACGGTCCTCTTGTATTGGTTACTGGAGAAAATGTTCAAGTTAATGGAGCCAAAGGTAAGTCGATTTTCAAATACATGACATGAAGGATAATTTAAAAATATATTTTCAAAATTTTAAAAATCTTCCACAATACTGGATTTTATAATTAACATCTCAATTTAATAAATTTTTGCCAGTAATACAAAATCTTGGTCAAATACATTACATATATGTTACAGAGGAAGGTGTACCTGCAGATAACTATAGAGGCTAAGCCTTAATTAATTGCTGTTCAAAAAGGTCTACGCGTCTTATACTTAATAGTCTTGCCCTATGGACTGATGGTTGTGATGTTTTACCAAAGTATTAGGTTGAAAGATAAGAAAATTTTCTACTACAGGGCACGAGAATTTTAAAAAATCAGACTCTCTCTCGTTAGGGAAAAGATTGCTTGGACAACGTTTTTACATTGGACTCTATTATTTCCATACATATTAGAATTAAAAAACGAAAACTGTTTTTCATTTTTGAAGATTTTAAGAGAACCTTTGCTTCAATAAATCATTTTTTACTGTGGGTTAAATTGTTCAATATTGAAATATAATCAAAAATTTTTCGTGTTTTAAAAATGATATATTCATAAGCTACTCTACAGGTTGTTTACATTGTTTGAATTAAGTTTCGAAAACCAAATTTCAGCAACGGTACTCCATTTGTAAATATTTTGTTTTTTTGTTTTGTTAGAGTATTGTTACTACACCTTTTTTAATTGTTGTTTAAAAAGCGTCAAGTTAATTTAGAAAAATATAAATTTTATTTTAAATTAGTCAATTTGATTTAAAAAAGTATCAAATGTATTTCGAAATTATCAGTTCAATTTTAAAATTCGTCAATTGTATTTCAAATCAATTTTATTTAAAAAAGTTTCAAAAATATTTGGAAAATATCAATTTTATTTCAAAATTCTTCAAATATATTTCAAATTTGTCATATATTTTCCAAAAAATTCCATTGAATTTCAAAAATTTATTTTTTTAATTTCAAAACTTATTATTTTTATATCAAAATTAATCTACATAATACTATTCCCATAGTACACCTCGTACATCGTATATTGTTCATAATGTTTTGGATTTGTTGCAATGCCCTTTATAGTTGGTGTTTTTTAGCTTTTTTATTGTACAACGCCTGTTCTTTCTGACTTCCAGCTTGATTTCCTTAAAATAATTCTTAATATTGTTCAGCTAGGAGATTTTCGCCTACTTCTATTGTTTCCGTATTAGTTTTTTGATTTTCCTGAACCAGAATTTTTGATCTAGAATCACTTCAGCAGGTGTCGATTTGTTTTTTAAACAATTATGTATAAAAAATATTTACACTATATACGCGAACGAAATTGACCCAGTTGCCAAGTAATGTTATTAAACAAACATCCCACTTGTCGACATCCGAACATGAACACTTTTTAACATTCATGACTGAAATATCGTTATAACTTTAATGCATTGTAATTCTCAGACATTCTATATTTTAACAACGAGGAATCTTGGTATTTAATAAATCTAAGACGTATTAGATTAATTTTTATACAGTGTCACATATACAGTATGCATCATATGATATTTTTTTTTCTAAATGATGTAGATGAATTTTGACTTTGCCAACTTTTATTGTTTCAGAAATGATAACGAATGAGATGCAAATGGCCAAACATGTAACTGTTTGTAAATGTCAAAATTGACATTTTTTCCTAAAGACTGAAAAAAATATATTATTTTTCAAATTTTGAGAAATGCCCAAAGAAAAAGTTGCTTGTTTTTTTATAAAGCAAACTTTAAATATAAATACATTTAAAAGTAAAAAAACTATTAAATATAGGTTTGCTTAAATTTCAGTACCTAACCTAAAAATGGATTGGTAGAAAAATGAAAGAAAAAAGAAGTTATGCGAAAAACTTAAAAATTTGTACATGCTCTGATCCCTTTTGAGGGGTACTGGCATATTATTACCAAACAAGCTTGGATCCAGCCACTGCCTCTCCTCAATCAGGCTTGGGGTCCAGCCTGCTTTTCCTCCTCTTGAGGGTCGCACGGTGGCATTGAAGCGCAGATGGCTTATTATGTCACCATTTGGTTGCCCTAATCCTTCCCATTCACCATACACTTTCATCGTCATTCCATATCGTTGATGGTTAACCGCTAGTCGGATAAGTCCAGCCGTCACACATCCTCGACGTGACCGGAGACACCACTGGTTAGCTATTTCGAGAGTATGGATACACAGTAATCTTGTGGCTAACCTCTTCTTCTTTAGGCATTTCTTGAAATTTTAAAAAATTGTTACGTTTCTTAATTTTTAGAAAAAAATGCCAATTTTGACATTTACAAAAAGTTACATGAATGATCATTTGCTATTATTTTTAAAGCAACAAATAATGGTAAAGTAAACTTACTCCACAGCATTAATAAAAATATATCCCATATGACGTGCACTTTATGTGTATCATTCGGTACAAAAAATATCATATTCATATAACCTAAAGATCAAGTATTGGATTTTATACGTTTTATTTAAATTATCTTGTCATGTAAAGCATTGTTATTCATCATTTGAAGCTTCTAATATCTAACAACTATCTGTTAATTACAAAACCGTAAGCTGTACAAAGTTATACAAGGTGTTAGTATATTCGACCGACAACGCTCTGTCACATGAACCCTTAAAGGGTTTAGTTACAGGGTATTAAAAGTTTGAAATGAAAATTCAAAATTTGCCATAAATCAAAAACGTCTTTAAATATTTTTTCAAATTAAATTCACCAAATTATTAAAAAGTTGACACGTGGTTACTTGGTTAGAATTTACAAAATCTAAGTAAGTACATGCAGCCTTTTGTTTAGAAGCAAAACACCGTCCATTTTAGCTCAATAAAAGGTTCTTACTTCTGTAACTAAAGTTAAACAAAAAATTAAAAAAGAAATAAAAAAAATTTTTCAGTGTAAAAAATACTACTAACCTTGATAGCGCGCCACTGGTTAAATTTTTCAAAAGTTTGTTCATCTCAAACTATTACTTTCTTAAAGAGCATATTGGTAACCAAATTTAAAAAAGGCGCTTTTCGTTTATGGAAAATTTTGACTTTTGATTTAAAACTTTTAACACCCTGTATCTGGATAACTAAGCCATTTGAGGGTCTATGTTCCTATTTAAAATGTATCAATTAACAGGAGCTCTCTGTGGCTCGAATATACTAATAATCTGTATAGTTTCTAAATATAAGACACTTAAAATACGACTAGCTACCACAGCTTATACAATACAGCTCCACAACTCCGTGTCGGTGTCTTTGATGTGGCGGTCGAGAACCAAGCGAGACGGAATGGTGCTATCTCTGTTAGATTCGACGGAAAAGTCGGGCCCGGATTAAAAAATATTTTTATTATTGAAATAATTGAAGATCTTGGCGTAATAAGGTTGGTTACATGCCACATTAAGTAAGTTTTGAGAAATTAGGTTTTAAATTTGTTTTAAATCTATCAAATATAAATAAAAAAATTATTTAAATATAAATATTACGAATAATAGCACATCTTTTGGATTAAAGATAAAATAATTTGTATGAGGCTAGTAATATCCTTGTTAACAGATGTTTTGAGCTAAAACAGTCACTTCACGGCAAATTGTGGCCGTGGATGCAAATCAAGTGGTACCCCGTGTATCTAGCAAGTGTCACTCATCGCGCAAAGGGTTTATAGTTTTTATACCTAGATAAACGACTGCTTCGACTGACTGAGGTCTGGGAACTCGATTATATTCTGGGTTATTATAAAGAATCGGTAACTTGTGCTTTTATTTTAACAATATCGGTTTTATTTAGATGTATTTTTATTCATAAAGATTTGTAGAAGTAATAATTTGACAGTTTTTATTTATATATTATATTTTTATCTGACCGTACCGAAGTAGAGAATTTTGAAACTTGATAGTAATGTGAAATTTAGATTACAATATGCGAATTTATATAATTAGTACCTATTTTAGGTAGGTACTAAATTTGTACTTGGAGAAAGTAATATCGATTTTTACAAGAAAACTCGAAAAGTAAATTAATTTAGTTCCTATTTACTGATGTAAACATTAAACCAAGAAAACAAATAAATAGTAGTTTGTGCAACAAGAGTGGATATGGACAATCCACTCGAGTTGTACAGTATATTTTTTCTACGACCCACTGACGAAAATCTACAAATTAAAATAAATTATTTTAGGTTATTTAGACAAAATAACTAATTTTAAAATAATTTACGAATTTTACTAATTTATAAAATAAACACAAAAAAATTAATTTAATTAGTTCCCGGCCTAGATTCGATCAGGGGTTTTCTCGTGGAAGGCAGATGCTCTGTCCTCATCTTCACCGACACTTTTAGGATTTTAGTTTTAATACTCGTAATTAAATGACATTCACACAGCTTGTAACTTTTATATAGATCGTCCAATTTCTCCAAAAGGTCTTTTCGATTTAGTTTCATTGCCCATATCCTAGCCCTGAAAAAAATCATGTGTTTAGGTTTAAATAAGTTAATTATTAGACTATCATCTACACAATTAAACAAATTTAGAATTCCTAGCTCAATAGGTAACTTTAGCACCTAGGAGGAATTAATAAAAATAAAAACAGCCTAAATCTAACGTAAGTTAATAAACGAATCTGTTTATACAGGTCGCAATTGTTCCATATTTTAATTTGTGTTATAGACGTTTTTTGCCTGGCAAATAAAAATTTATGTTTTTTTTAATAGAACACCCTATATTTTATTTTTAGAATGGCTTTTTAACACTATATTCAACCCTAGCATGTTTTGAAAAAATATTACAGTTTTAGCAAACAATTATTTTTTTTAAATTAGAGAATGATGCTAACCCCAAATTAAATTATCATAATTTAGGTAGGTTTACACTGATTTAAAAATTGTTAAATATACATACTTATATGATACTAAGCTAACGAATAGTGGTGATAGAACTGGTTTATTTTATTCAAAGTGTTTTGAAACGTGCCTTAAATATGGTTAATTTTAAGTTCAATTTACTCAATTTTTTTTAAATGTATATTATTTTGACATAAAATTCCTAATACATTTACCTACTCAACGATACCAACATGTTAGCCAATAACACATATACAGGATGTCCCATTAGTGCGTAATGGATTGATAGCTGTTTTATTATTAGAAATACAAAAAAATGGATTACCCTGTATCAATTAGTCGGTGGTATAATTTATAGGGTATTCCATTTAAAAACGTGAGAAAATTGTTATTCCCCATTTTGACACACCCTCTATACCCTATAGCAAATAAATGAAGTCTATTAAAATGGTTTGACGATGTGAAAACTATCGAATATGTATGACTACCTGCAAGGTGTTTTGCTTTAAAAATGTATAAGTTTCATCAACTCCCCTGTATATTTAAGAATATTTATTAAACATGGTCATACAAATTTATATAATTTTTTTTCGTATTTCCACCAATAAAACAGCTATCGATCAATTACGCACTCATGGGATACAAAGTTTATGTGTTATTGGCTAATATTTTGGTACAGATAAATAAGCAAATTTATAAGGAATTTTAGGCCAAAATACTTTGTTTGAAAAAATTGAGTAAATTGAACTTAAAATTAGCCATATTTAAGACATGTTTTAAAACACTCTGTATAAAATAAACCAGTTCTATCACCACTATTCGTTAGCTTAGTTTTTTCTAAGTCTGCATATTAAACAATTTTGAAATCAATGTAAACCTACCTAAATTATGATAATTTAATGTGCATCATTCTCTAATTAAAAAAAAATGAATTGCTTGGCAACACTAATATTTTTTAATACATTTTACGGTTAAATACAGTATTACCAAACCATTCTAAAAATAAAATAAAATACAGGGTGTTCCATTTAAAAAACATACATTTTGATTTGCCAATTCAATATTCAAAATTATTTTTAAAATATGTATTTTTCAAATCCATATAATTTTTATTTAAAACTTTTTTTGCGTGTCTACAACACAAATTCAAATATTGAACAATTACGCACTAATGGGACATCCTGTATAAATTATATTATTAATGAAAATTTCTTAGAATGTGGTACTTACCGGTTTGGGTCCTTGGGAAAACGAAAGAATGTTTTCTTGCAGGTATAACCCTTATTAAAATAGCTTTTGACTGCACAGACAGAATGATGTCTTTTTTTTCATTCATTCTACTCACAGTTAAAGAGTCACCAAAATAATAACAGTACCTTTAACTTAACACAATAGTCAGCTCAAACAAAATCAACGAAATTATAGGCTCAACGAAATTATGCAATCAACGAAATTATACGCACGGCTCAATCCTTACCTAAGTACGATTCTGAACGCCAAAGCCGTCTTTTCCGTCCGAAGGAGGAGCTTAAGCAATGCGCGATGGAATCGACGCAAACCGTTGTCGCCAAGAGAGTGTTTTAGCTGTATTGTATAAGTTGTGTAGCTACTTCAAAAGACATAGATATCTCTAGTGGAAATTTTTTTATCCATGCATCGATTTAACTTGTCTAGTGTTACTAAATTAGCTTAGAAACTCTAAGTTTTAATAATTTTAATTGCAAGTAAATATTAAAAACAAACATTATTTTAAGGAAGCGTTTTAAATGCCCAAGGAGAAAAGTACTGGGATGGACAAGGTGGCGCTGGAGGGGTTACAAAACCCAGATTTTTTACCATAGAAACCACCGGTGGTTCAGTTTTCAAAAATATCAAACTATTAAACTGCGCTATGTTTTGTGTAGGAATTCATTCAACCGATCTTCATTTAGATGGGTGGACTCTTGACGTTTCTGCTGGACATAAGGTAAGTTATAGATAACAGATACTATAGCACAGCAGTTTCTGATCGAATACATTGATCTAGGTGCCACAATGGTAAATAATAGTTGCGTTCTTTTTTTGATTGAAGATAGCAGTAATACACACTCTGATTTGTTTTTGTATTTAAGATTACCTAACTCAATAATTTTATTAGTAAGACGGCGATCGTTACCTTGGACACAGAATATATGAATAAAGCAGGAATGAAAAATAGGGCTACTTACAGTAAAAACTTAAGGCTACGGTAGCCACGTCTTAACTATTCATGATGAAAAATTAACAAAGTAGTACAATATAAATAAATGTAGTTTTTGCAGTATAGCATTAATATGTTGTTACTGAAAGTCAAAGATTTATATCCCATCTACTTCAGAGTGACAACCATTTCTTTCCTTTATGTGTTGTTCCTTAGATATCCCATAAACATTAAAATAAGCTTACTGAGTATGTGTCATCTTCTCTGTTGTCAGTGAGTTTGGTATTTAATGGTTATTTCTCAAGCAAAGGTTTTGCTTATCCCAAATACAGGTTCGGGTAGTATTAATAGCAGTTTTGATCTCTCGTTGATGAGGTCATTGGCCTTTTCATTTTCTTGGATACCTTTAAGTACTGGTACCCACGATAGGTTTACCTTATTGTGCTTTGCAAGTTTATTATATATTCCAAGGCAGTTCCAGACTAGCTTTTAAGGCTGCTTGTAGGAATTCAGATGGCTTGTTTCTACTACTATCGATGACGATGACGATAGGGTTGTTCGGTATTCTTATTGTTTACCGCAGGAGTTTGGCCACTGTAAATTGATAGGCTAAATCTGGCACGGCTGTACTGTAATGGATTTTCCTTAAGACCCAACTAAACTTTTTTCTTAGGTTAGAACACGATTTTTCATTCACAGTAATACAAGACGTCATTTTAAAAGTCTATTTCTTAATGTTAACAAATACGTAACACGATGAGTTTAATAAAACGTATCTCTCGAATTAAGACGGTTGCAAATTGGCGCCAACTCATTGACAGTACATTTTTAAATCCTTATACAAGTTTCCCGAAATAATTAGGGTAAAAATAAAAGTCTATTTTGCGTTTTAGCTTTTAAATATTATAAAAATGGTGGAAAGTCCATAACTTTTAAATAATTGTTAAATATCACTTAGTAAAATAATATGCATTAAAAGTAAAACAAACTATAGACTTTCCACCATTTTTACCGTACTCTGAACCCATTTTTAAAAACAAGTTCTGAAAATGTCTTCCTTTTACGAAACATAAATGAACACTACATTTTTCACAAAATACATCTGTTTTGGAGGTACAGTTTGGATTTTTGCAACGAGTGGCGTCTTTTTTATCGTCATATTTGGGGCAGTGATGTACCAAATCTTTCCGAATTTCCATTGATGGCTGTACTTCTGCAGTTATTTTTCTGAATGTACTGAAAATTGGAGAATTCCGTGGAAAAATCTCTCCACGTGGACGACCAGGTCCTCTTTTATTTACTAGTTTACCCATAAGCACTAAGGCTACACCAATTTTTATTTTGAAATGAAGTAACTTCAGAATTTCTTTACGAGAGGCCTTCCGTGCTTGCATACAGGCTTTATATTTAAGCCAGCTATTCACGCAAGCCAGATCAAATGCGTGAAAAATCATTCGCAGTATCCATTTCTTGGATTTTATAAACACTCTATAATAGGATATAAGCTGATCCAACAAGTCTACGCCATCCATAGATTTATTATATAATGCGACAGCCTCTGGTCTCTGAACATTTATAAATGCTTTCTTGGACTTGTACCATCTCTTTACCGTATCCTCAGTACCTTTTCCTACATAGTTTGATCCAACCGTGACTGCTTTGTTGTCTTGCCATTTTACCAGCACTACTGATCCTTTTTCATTCACCACTTCTTTACTATACCCTCTGTCCTTTTTACTGAATTCTTTATCTGCGGTAAACGGTGGTCGTTGAAATCTGTCTAGACGTACAGTACCAATGGAAAATAGGTGTCTAATTATTGGTTCTTCAAACAGTAAATAACTGGCAAAATAATTATCAAAAAATATATAACTATTTTCGGCTACATCTGCAGTAAGGTACAATACCACCGACGCCGACGGACCCAGGCCAAATTTATCCATCAAATATTTTGGTATTTCTGTCGTTGATCCTTGATATATAAGAAAATCACACAGCATTCCACTTGCCCCACACAAAGCGAAAAGGATATGGTTTATTTTTCACGTATTGTTTGAAATCTAACCTTCCAGTAAACGGCACCATCTAATAATAATAATAATAATAATAATCTCCCTAATTCACCCCCTTACGAGTGAATTTTAACCCCTGAAGTCGACTGAACGACTTGTGTAGGGGAAGGGACGGCAATTATTATTATTTGCCGTGGCGCTCCGGGGCTACTTAAGGATGATTGATGGTGCCATTTGACTTACAGGTGAGGAAAACCCGGAAAACCTCACCCACCATCATCTGCATCATCAGCACCATCTGCTCATCAACACTTAAAAATGTTTCTTTTTTTGAGTTGAAGACATCTGCAACGGATTGAAGTTATTGACGATGTGTACATTTTTTCGTAATTAAAAAACCTATCTCTGCTCATCGTGTTTAGAAACAAACCAATATTATAAAGGTTATCCCAATACATTCTAACTCGAGGATACCCCATACACCCCATAATTATGTGCAGTCCAACAAAAGTAGTAATTTTGTGTTGATCAGTTGGTCGAAATGTTTGTCCAGTTTGTAAAGAATATATATTGGTCATTTCAGCTACTTTTTTAAAGAAAAAAAGAAGGTGGAAGGACTTTTCTTCATTCGATGTATTGTGCTGCTTACTGCGAGTCCGTTTTTGTTTTATTTTTCTAGCTACGTATTTTCTTTTTTGCCACTTCATATCTACTTTTCGTTTTTTTGGTTTTTCTTTGTTTCTTTTTTGTTTATCCCACCTTCTAATATTTCCTAAAAATATTTAAAAATACTAAATACTTACAGAAAATATGGACAATCCTTACCGCTACCTTCTGAGGTTCTACAATATCTTGAATATTTTTTGAATTCCTTGGTTGCTCTTCTTCCTCACTGGAAGTCGATTCTAAATCGGAATGATTTTTCAATTGCTCCAACATATTTTCGCATTCCCGTTCTAATTCGGCATCATCTAATAGCGCCAATAATACCACTTGATTCCGCGGATCTTCTGGATTTAAACCTGCAAAAATATTTGAACTTAAACCTGATGTCCATTACAATGTACATTATGAATTAGATTTAATTTCTCGGTAGAATCAGGGCTGGTATATCTAAGGGGGTCGCGACATAGACCCAGTAAATGGATGAGGGGGTGACTGAGGGGGAAATAGTAGTCAGCTTAAGTTGGCAACACTTTTCTGATGTTCGTTTGGGGAAATCCACGGTTATCGTTTGTGCAGTCATAATAGTATTATAAAAACAGAGACAGATCTACTTTTAACGTGCATCGTGCATAATAATGTCAATATGGTACAAGTGGAATGAACGACTGTTTTCCTCGTAGTCGAATGTCGAATTAAAACTAAAAACATTTTGTACTTTTTTATATACCAAATTATGCAATTTGTTTCCACTTTATTTTAATGTTACATGAATAGGTACATGCGTTTGTGCTGTGGAAAATAAGTGATCATGTGAAAATTATCTCCGAAACTGCATTGTGACTGCACGCATCTCAAAACTGAATGCTGTAAATCCAGGATTTAAATCTTTCATAGTGTTGCTTGGAATAAATTGTAAAAAAGGTGTTGGACAAAACGTTTACAACCTAAAATTGCATGGAAAACATCATAGAAGAAGGAATTTTACCTTTATGACATTCTCTTTCAACATTTTTAAGTGACTAAGTCAAAAAATTCAAATTAAAAAAAGTGACTTAGTTCTAATAGGAATACATAAGTTGAATATGAAAATGCAATTATTTGATTTAAATGTGATTTAATTAAGAGCTAAATAGGTTTCATATAAACAAAGTGCTGCAAAATGTTGATAAATGCAAAACCATTATTAAAGAGAAATTAGTTATCATCAATAGGACATTTTGTAGTAGCTGGTCTCTTTAAATAATAAACTTGAAAGACTGTCAATTAGTAGTCACTTTTACACTAGAAGTAAAAACAAAACAAAAATGTGTGGTTGAGACTAATTTATGTAGGGGAAAGACGGGCAATATGGGGTACCTAAACTTTTAAAGTGAATAATAAAGCAACAAGCAGTCTTGTAGAAACAACGTATATTTTTTTGTCAAGTATAAACTTTAAAAAAACAAAAGGATAAACTGTTTTTCTTAAATTGTTAAACGCTTAGTTACAAAAACAAAAAAATGTCAAAACTGTAAATTAAACCGTTTTGCCCGCCCGGGAGGGCAAAATGGGGTATCGATAATTTTAACTGAAAAATAACTATTTAATTGCAAAATTCACATATTAATGTGGCCTCGCTGTCTTCATCGTTAACTCCGGCGCATGAATTGTGTGCCCACCGTAAACACATGGAACAAGCGATCCATCCTTCGGAAGATATGGAATAAAGGTCTCCACAATAAAGGCATTCTGCATCACTATCATGACTAACTTCGCTGTCACTTGAATCATCTTTTGCAATAAGTTCTGATTTTTTTTTTGTTTCCTTTCTTAGTCTTCTTTGAGCCGCCTGGATCTTCTATTTTTCTTTTCACAGCTATCTGCCTTAATGTTTTCTTATTCTTGACTTCAACGGACTCTTCAAGTTCATCCTTGTAAGGCGTGGAGGTCAAAATAACAGTTTTACCTTTTTTTCGTCTCACTCGTTTCACAGTCTGACGAGTTTCGGGAATCGGAACGATAGCTGTTGGACTGGAAAGTGGAAAGGAAGAATCATTCATTCTCGATGTGCTTGGTTGGGGTTCGATGGCGGAATTAGTCTCAATTTTCTCCGGTGTTTTTTCGCCTACAGGAATGGTAGCTTTTGAAGTTAAAAAGATGGGAGAAGTGTTATTGTCTGATCTGTGCTGTTCAATTGCAGTGCAAGAATTATTATTGGAGTTCCCTTTTCGGACATCACTAATATTATTTGATGGTTCAGCTTGACAGTCAACAGCGCTTTCATCTTCAACTTCGGTGGCAGCCGATGGTAAAAAATCGGCGTCAGAAAAAACACTTGCATTCACAGGCCATATCCCGGTTTTTCTAAAACCATTTATGGCAGTTGGCATGGTAGCTGCTCTTATGAAAGCAGCGCTAAATAATGTAGACAGCTGGTGCAAGGTAGCTACCCGGCCAGGGTTGGTCCTAAGCCACCTTCGTACTTCGTCTTCAAAATAAACGCTTAAAGGTTTCATTAATGCTACATCCAATGGCTGCAGGCGATGGGTAGAATGAGGCGGGAAACACAAAAGAACTACGCCATTATCTCTGGCATAATTTATCAGGTTCAAGTTTTTGATATGTGAAGAGTGTCCGTCTAAAAGTAGAAGCACCGGAGTATCTTTTGAGGCCTTGGAAAATTCAACAAATTTTTTAAACCATTTAAAAAATATTTCCATGTCTATCCAACCCTTTTGATTTAACTCTACCCAGGCTCCAGGAACTAATCTATCCAAAAATCCTTGCTGCATTTTCTTGCGCGGATAAATCAACAAGGGAGGCATGTAGGAACCTGACGCAGAGAAACATACTTCTGCAGTTACTAATTCGCCTCTCTCTGCTGATGTCAAAGCCCCTACTTGACGTTTACCTTTGATCGCAATAATTTTAGAAGCACTTTTGGGAACCACTGTAATCCCAGTTTCATCGACATTGTATATTTGCTGTGCTGTAAAATGATATTTTTCGACTAATTCTTCAAGGAGGGTGAAAAATTTCGAGACGGCAACCTCGTTGAATCCTCTTGCGCGCATTCCTGACGTAGCTTCTGGTTTTCGAATTGATAATTCCGGATGTCTTCTCAAGAAGCCCTGCATCCAACCTTTTCTTGCCATTTGAGAAGTTTTACTGAAAGGATGATTAATATTGTTCAACTCGGCTAACTGAAAGGCGAGCTTTCTGCATTCAGTCATGGTTAATCCAAATAATCGACCCTCCATATCTATCAAATAACTTGCAATTTCTTCTTCCTGTCGCGGTAGAAAAACGGTTTTATATCTACCCAAAGTTGTTGAAAGATTTTCCTCATTTGGATTACTTCTTCGTTTTTTGACGTATCGTTCCAAAGTGGTTTGTGGAACATTAAATTGGCTAGATGCACGATGGTATCCCATTTCACCTCTAACTACAGCGTTAACGACCTCCTCCATACTTAGATTAGACCAACCCTGTCTATTGGTGGACCGTTTGTACTTATACAGCATCTGAAACAATAAAAACATTATATTATGAGGATTACAATAACAGGGAGAACTTAAAAAAAATGATAGTAGGGCAAAATGGGGTACCCCATTTTAGCATACCCCATTTTTCCCGGCATGCAGACTTTTACAATAATTAAGAAATAAAAATGAAAAACCTTACATATGTTTAACAAAAGTTATGATAAGTTAAGTCTACAATAGTGTACTTTACGAATATTATCACAAAATTTCAAAAAAATTCATGAACAGGAACTTACCTTGCTTAAAATGGCCGGCCAAAGTTTTTTCGTAAATTCTGTAGCACGTGCGTTCACTTCCGCAGATCGCTTTGTACTGGTAACTGAAAACTTTATTAAAATTATGGCTGGGACCGTTAAAAATGTTATTACCCCAATGACGAATAGATGTCGCTAGTGGTATAGTTTTAAATGCGAAAACCCGTTTTGCCCGTCTACCCCGTCTTGCCCCTATTTAATAAAAAAATATATATTAAACATGTTTTATTTAAATAAAAAACAGGTGTTATTTGAAATGTTTTATTTTAGTTTAATAATGTTTATAAATTGTGGGTTTATTTGATCCGAATCTTGCTTAATACTATAAAATGCATATGTATTTCTATATGGTTAGATTGGAGTAGAAGCACAAAAGTTTTGATTAAAAATATATTCTTTAAATACAATAATCACTAGATATGCTAATTTAGGTAATTTTCTATTTGAAGCCATACATGTTTCCTATTATAGTTTTCATACGTTTATAATTCTGGAGATATTGAAATATTTTGCTTGATTACTAAACTTTGGTTGTTCTTGTTGTGGTCTGCTGTTAACACTATTGTAATGAAATATTAAAAAAGCTAGATAAAGGTTTGTCCAACTCTTTTGTCAGCTTTGTTAATCTATGCTACTGTTATTCTGCATGCAGACATTTTTTACTGGATATTTTCTCTAAGAACTGTATTCGGTTTTAAATTTCGGCCAGTTTTTGGAAAGTACCTCTGTTGTAAAGGTATTTCAAAGCCATCCTTTGTAAGATGTAACCAACAAATACATGCTAAAATGTATAGAAAACAAATCGCAAAATATTACACAAAATTATTTAAATTAAATAAAAACATACAAATGAAGTGTATAATACCTACCAACAATTTAAAAAGACCTAAAATAAATAGACTTAGGGGGATGAACCTCTTAAAAAGGGGTCCATAATTTGTTATGCATCCTCAGAAAATTGTCTTCATCTCTTCAATTACCTTTTAAAATAAATCAAACCAAAACAGCACAAAATTGAAAGTGATCTACTTTTCACGACGTATTCTATGTACATGTGAGATTATTAATAATTTATTAAATTGAAATATTTTATCCTAAAAAATATGGTCATTTTATAATGAAAATGTCATTTAAAAAAAGACATTGATTTTTTTTTATATTGGCAATTCCAACGACTACAGGTTGCCAGATCAATGGGCGTCTACTATTAAAAAAAAATAGCATCCAAAATGGACCCCTATGTCGCGATCCCCTTAGATATACCAGCCCTGGGTAGAATATAAACAAAAATATACATTTTTTTGTCATAGTCAATTGATTTTGACATTTCCCAAAGCGAATGTCATATATATTATCCATTTAGAAAACGATTTTTTTTACTTACTCTTTTTTCGACTTGTTGACGCCGCTATGACAAATAACTTTCAAACTGATAACAATACGTTAAATTCGACACCTAATGACCGACTGACTAATCATTTTCGACTTCAAATATACCAAGATTGTACACATCTACTAGTAGTTACGGTTGCATACAGTTAATGTACATTACAATGGACACCAGGTGTGAAAGGGAATATGCTGAAAGTTCGACAATTAGAACTAAAACGATATTCGCCTATGGGAGGCATCTTGATAGTTGAACTATTGGAGAGCGACTCGAATAAACGATAAAAGATGTGGATGTTTTGGAGACCGAATAACGACTCGTCGGATCTTGCGTGTAAAGAGACACAGCTACTCCACCTCAATACAGTCGGAGAGGATGATATCGTTGGATAGGGCTTTTCTATTACGAAACATGTTTAGCTCTATTGGGTAACATAAAGAAAAGTTATTGTTAGTTATGAGATGATGATATGTACTAGAATGTTTCCGGACTGGTGTACGTGACTGACTGTTTGCGAAAAATATATTTTGATACTATAGTGTTGAAGCGAGAAAACAGTTATTACTCAAAGGATTGAAGATGTGTGTTTTTGAAATGTGTGGCCTTTGAATGCAGGTATTTTCTTAGGATATACCCGACCTGGGAATGCTATGTTTAAATTGAGGAATGTATATTATGAAATTTAAAAAATTATGTTGAACAATACTTCACTCAATACTTTAAATAGCAACACCTGTAGGGTCTTGAGGTAACATTCTGGGACTTGCAATGAGATTAGTATTTTAAATTAATTTTAAACAATAAATTGTTACACCTTCTTTTAGCTTGGAAAGAATACCGATGGTTTTGGCATTTCAGAAAATTCTCGTAACATCCTAATCGAAAATTCCGTTGTAACAAATCAAGACGATTGCGTGGTTGTAAATTCCGGATTAAACATGCTCTTCAGAAATATCAAATGCCACGGTTCGCATGGTTTGAGTTTTTCGTTGGGCAAAAACGATGATGATAATGCTGATTCCGGTACTACTCGAAATATTACTTTTAATGATATTTCTGTCGCAGATGGATCATATGGTATCCATGTAAAGACAAAGAGAGGAAATGGATTGCTGACTGATATTATATACGAAAACATCGAATTTAAAGGTAGGTTTATACAAAAAAATGCACTCAGAATCTATAAAAAAACTATAATCAGGTAATATACGTGATTACAGGATACTAAATATGGTTATTTACTCCGTTGTTCCTTTAGTTGATCGTATAGTCTTTAAATAAATAAAATGGATCAATATTACTTTATTAAAAGTTCATATTTTTTAAAATTATATTGTTTATTTGTTTTTTAGGGCTGTTAAAGGAGGGAATCTTCATAGACCAAAATTATGGAACCCATGGGAAAGTCCCACGTAAATTTCAAATATCAAATTTGAAGTTGATCAATGTTCATGGAACTGTGAACAAAAAAGCCATACCCGTTCACATAAGTTGTCATAGTAATGGGTGTTCCAATTTTGATTGGTCTAAAATTGATGTACGAGGTTCAAGAAAGAATATTTGTAACTTTAATCCAACAGGATTTTCTTGTTAAAATATATTATATAATTCAAAAATATTATTTTTATTGAAATTTTTATTCAGATAGAAGATATAACGGAAAACTTTTTACAACGAATTTCAAATCAAGGCTCGTGCTGGAACACGAATTTTTGAATTCATCGAAAAAATGCCAATTTCAATACATTATAAAGTTTTTATTACTGGTCAAGCGCTATCTAAAAAAAAAACTGCTTTTCTATTTTCTAACGCGTCAGGTAGATTGAAAAATTCCGCATCAGATAATTTAAAAAAAAGCAAAATCTCACTCAAAACCTAAATAGTATATTGTTTCACGAGTGACAAAAATTATTTTTGACGAGTAAAACACTATACTTTTTCTACGAACTCTCTTATGTCATGTAGGTACCTACTAAAATGAAAAAAAAAAAAAAAAAAACAAACGTTAGCAAATGCTTTATTTTGTGTTAGGAATAATAAAAAATTAACCTACAATTAAATATTTCAGAAATATTATTTATTATTTAAATATTTATTTATTGTTATATTTGAACAATTGTTCAAAATTATGGGGGTATCACGCTTTTTATTAATTGAGGTAGATGCCGACATATTTGTTCTACTGTTAAATGTCATTTCAGATGATGATGCGCCATAATCGGATGAACTAGTAGTTTCCTTATTTTGTACAGATTGTAAAATTTTGGTTTGTATTTGGTTTTTACTGTTTGTGGATTCATCAACATATCCTTCCGCAACACTACTAGATTTCCAACCACCGTGCTTTTTTAACAGAAGCAAGTCACCTCCTGCATCCACTATTAGCGTTGCGGATGTTCTGCGGAAACAGTGCCCAGTGTAATCTTGAGGATTCGGAAGCGTTAAAAACTGAGCAATTTCGTTAGGAAATTTGCTGATTTTATTAATTCCAACAACCTGTCTGCTACACTTTCCATTCTGATAGTTAATAAAGAATCTTGAATTAATTTGATCCATGTTTGCGGGACGTAGGCTCATATATTTTTTAGAAATATCATAAAAGGGTCCAGAAATATGAAAAGAACGTGGAACTTTTGTTTTTGTATTACGGATTTTAACTAACAGAATACTCCCAGTATCCTTTACATCGCTTATTGTTAAATCTTTTAGTTCGTGGCAACGACAAGCGCCAGATAATCCAAAAACTAATGCTACCTACAAATATTAGTAGTTATGTATTAAATATTTGTTAAAATAAAAATAATAATTTCGTTACCTTTGTTATTAAATATTTATAGTCAGGTGCATTCTTTAGGAAAGTCTTTATGTCTTCAGGCGAAAAATTTTTGGATTTTTGGCTTTTAAAACCATCAGATTTTCTTTTCAAAAGCGAACGTAACTTTGGATATTTACTAATATCGACATCATTTTTAACAGAGAGTGTAGTTCTTAGCATCGAATAAATGGACCATAACGTCGACGGTTTAAAATTTGAACATATTTCTCCAAAGTATGCTAGTAGTACAGTTTCCGAAAATGATTTCACTTTATTTTTTTCTCTCCAGTCCAAAAATTTGATATAAATTTCTTCATATCTCTTTTTTGATTTGGCCGGTAATAAATCTGAAGAGGTTTCTTCAGCTTTAAAAATAATTTCTGGGGGAGTACAATCGCTTTCTGACTCAGACATCATGAAAATGTGTTAAATTTAGGACGAACTGAAACTGACAGTTCTCAAAAGTGATAAAACTTCAAATAAACAAATGAAAACCAGGAAACTAGATGTAGATAGGTTTAATTTGCACTATTTTTATACATTTTATTTTATCTTTAATTAATTAAAGTTTAGGTAAAAACGCATATAGAATTTAATGAGCATCTTTTTATTTCATTATTAATAATTATAAGCTGCCAAAATATTATACGAGGCGACTGATATATGAAAATATGTAACAACTTACTTTCGTCACTAGAGACGAAAGTAAACGTTATGGGATTTTTTCTCACTAGTGACGGAAATCAAGTTTTCGCTGAAAGTATCCTGTGGCGAAAGATGTCTTTTTGTAAGAGTTCGTAGAATAACAAATTTACACATTTCAACTTCACTCTTGTACTTACTAAAAGGCTTAGGGGTATGCCATTATTACTCAGCTAAATAGCTGCATATCCATTATGAGTGTAGAGGAAAGGAGGACAATATAATATGGTTGTTAAGCTTTAAAAATGGCGCTCGTATACTAGAAAGGAAAGATCCAATGATATATAGTTATATAGATTGCTGATCTATACATAAATCAGACGACAAAAAGGTACTATTATATTTATATATGGGTGAGCTATCTATCTAACTGTAGACATCATTGGTGTGATTGTGCGATCTAAAATATCAACTGTCAGAACTGGCGGCGTCCCTCTGAAACAGTAACGCCATCTGAATTTTATACATTTTGAGGGACACTTTTTGTATACAGAGATAGTTTTCCTTACCTGTACATTTCATTTTCAGAGACAACAGAGGTGTGTAACTTAATAGGAAAATTTGTTCGGTGGTCCATTTAAATTACGTATATGACTTTGTTTCTCTTTTACATTGATCTTTACATATATTTATCTCTCTCAAATAAAACTAACACCAGTCCTAGAGGTCGCTGATGTTGCTGGTTTTTTGACGTCGACGTGCGACGTATATATTAGAAATGACAACTGACAATGTTATAAATGTTGTTATGAACGTGTGCATTTTATTAAAATTAATTTAATTTGGGCCTTTTATTTCTTTGAGTCTGATTTTGTTGTTTAATTAGTTTTTGGGGAGTGGAGTAGTATTTATTTTCGCATATTATTTTTAAAGAATTGATAAAAAAAATGAAAATAATGTGAAAAAAAGTACCTGAGTACAAGTAACATAAGTGACAAAAAACATCAAAGCAAGATTTACGTCGTTTCAGATTGTAAAACAGGATAAAAATCAAATATAAAACTGAAGAAAACACAAGAAGAAATCAATTCAATATCTTTTTAAAGCTTTTACTGTAAGTAAAATAATGTATTTATGTCTAAATATAATATTTATTGTAAACTAGTCACAATATGTATCTTACGAAGTGTAGTTTATTTTATTATAAGTTTCTATAATATAAAATTTTACAGTTATAGATGCTGAATTACAAACAACAATAATTATGTATTAAATTTAACTTACTAGAAAAGCAAATTTATTTTTTATAGAGTTTTAATATTGTTGTGTATCACAACAATGCGTTTAAAAATTATTAGGGGCCAAAGTACCATTAATTATATACTTAATAGAGCTGTAATTTAAAAATTATATGATAATTATATTATTACAGGAATAAATACATTTTCACCTGCCTTGGTAAATAATTTGTACCTCGTTTATTCTTTGTAAATATTACTTATTATAGGGCCTCAGTATTGCATTCGTGCAGACGAAAAAATTTTCTAACCCCCAGTTTTTAAAACTTTTTTTCGTTTCCGATCATTCCGAAAATGTAAAAAAAAATTTTTCGTCTGGTCGTCTGTGTGTATGTATGCCGACACGATAACTCTAGAACGAAAGTTCTGATTGACTTGCGGTTTTGATTTTCTTGAATAATTACTTCTAACTTAGAACCCTATTGATTTTCAGAATTTTCGGTTCATCCTAACTACTTTGATATCAATTTTGTTAAAATCCACCTATGCATTTCTTATATGACTAATTTTAGGAATTTCAATTATTTCTAACGTCTAACATTCCTATCATTCTTTACATTCCATACATTGCAAACATTATCCAACTACCTGTCAGACAACAGCTGTTAATTGTGTAGATGAGATTTCTAAGGCGGGTTGCGACCTTCATAATGCAAACATAGCCAATTTGGAGGCTATATTTATTCGAAATTAGTCGCCAAGCCTGCCAATTTATAAAAAATACATAAGCAGTTTCTTAAAAATTACTTTTTTATGGTGGTGCTAACTTAAACTTACTACTATTTCGCCCCTAGCCACAAAAACACCTTCATCAAATTTACTGGCTCTCTGTTGCAACCCGATAGAATAATTAACCAGCCATTTTATTTCAAGACTGTGATGTGTGAATTGCTCTTAAATGTAAAATTATTTAAAAATGTTTGTATGCTTCTTTTGATATTTATTGCAAATAATTTGTTGACAGATAATATAATGTTCTTATACAAAGCACTTTTTATTATACTTTTTTTATATAATGCTGGTTTTAATTATACGATTTTCGATTACATTGAGGATTTGAAGTGCAATATCATATAGTCCACATTATATCGCAAAATAGATTCAACCAGCGAATTGTAAATAATAATTAATCATAAATATCCTCAATTCATAAAATTTAAAAATGAATCTTCTAACTTTGGTTGTTAATCACGTAATGTGATCAACTCATTTCGAATTTTGATCCATTATGATACCGAGGTATTTTGTTATAAAGTTATCATTTATTTGTATGTTGAAAGAAGGCCTTTGTAAATTATATATGGATCTACTTTAATACAAAAATAGTTTTGTGGCTATAAGTTGCTATATAATAACCTATAGTCACAAAATTATTAATAATTTAAACATGGTAGGTAGTAGGTGTTATTATAACAAAAATAATGTATAATAAATAAGGGTAAAATAACAATAAATTAAGGGAAATACTTAAAAAGGGCAGGTTTAAAGAGTATTATCACAAGAAAGTAGGTATATCTGTTCTGTTTATTTATCAAGTATTGTTTGTGGTTACTTTTGAATACATTTATTGTTTTTTTTTTAATTTCTGTAGACAGTCTATTAAATTTTTGCAAACCTTTAATAAAAATTGTATTTTGGGAACTTTTAGTGATGACTTGCCGTACATGAAAGTCAAAGTGGCTTGTATTATAGTTATGATATTGCGAATTATATTGAATTTGTTCTAATAGATCTGATGCAATGGTACTATGTCACTTTTATTTTATAAATAAATATCAGTCATGTACTGAACATAATTCTGAACTGAAAGCCGATTTATTTCTTTTAACATAGTTGCAATACTCATCCTTCTGTCCTTTATTAATATTATATAAATAGGCGAAGTAAGGAGCCCAAATATTTTACATGAGCAGGCTTAAGAGGTAAAGGAGTCAATTATTATTGGATAAATTGCTCGAACAAGTTTGTAAACCCTAATAAAAAGGCGATATAGAATGGTTTTAAAAATCAAGGCTTGTGAAAATCATCACAAGGTTTAACTTAAGTAATGCCAATGCTTTACAAACCAAACAAATTCAACGTCCTAATGCTACTAACGGCTTTCGGTCTTTTATTCCAAGTTAAATCATTTCTCTTTTTTTTACGCTACGAGTTTACCTTTGTGGGCCACAGTCTCGATAAGGTGGGTACCACCATTTTAGCGTCTCTAGAATTAATGATAAGAATACATTAACATGACTTTTGAATTGGCTGAGATCGTTAAATAACAAATTATCGATAAAAATGTGTGTTTCATGTAGCGCGAAAAAAGTAAAACCAGGGACAGACAGCAAGGGGTACGATAATTCAGTTTTATTTAAAATAAATCATTCACTTTATTAATAATAACAGAGAAAATCCGAGACGGTTAACTTTATCGCAAACATTGTTTGACATTTAGATACAATAGTCATCAGGGTTAGCTGGGATTTTATCTTTGTCATGTACATTATTTCCTTATAGTTATCTCTTTCCCATGAGCTAAAAGATAGGGTAGACGTCACTAATAACGTTCCAGCATTGTTGCCGTTATAATTTTCCAAATTGTTTTTTTTTTTACTATAAATAATAATGATCTTATTTATCCATAAGTGTTACTTGGAATCTTCCAGTCCAATCGCCCAGTTTTTTCTTGGCTGAAAGCAAAATTGCATTGAGTTACACGTCTCATTAGTTGTCTCTGATGATAATTATCTTTTGGAGTTTGGGAAAAATTCTATTGTATCTTAAAAAGAAGCGAAGTAGACCTATTACTGCTTTAAACTATTAGAAAACGTGTTTGAATATTAAAATAATATTTTACCACAAAACTAGGACAATTCGATTTTGTTATACCGACAAGTAACCATAAAAGAACCGTTGAATTAGAAATTAAGGTCTCGAAACGCTAAATAAGGGAAAATTAGTTAAAATTCTTTAATTAAAATGTGTTAATATCATTCACAACACCTAATACTGCTCAAAAATTTTAGAAAATTTGTTTAGATATTAAAAATACTACTTTAGGTACCATAAAAGTCAGACATTAGAAATCCAAATTCTTATTAAGTGCAAATCAAATGAAGTTTGTTAAAGAACATACCTAGTTAAACCTGTTTACAATGTATGTATGATGAGTTATAATAAATTTAAATACTTACAATGAGCGAAAAAGACAATATTTATGTTATCTGGACAAAAGTGATTATACAAATGTAATAAATGTTGCAAATTATCAAATATCTATTTCAGAAATATTTGAACATCTGAGCTGTTTAGATATGAGTAAGGGATCAGGTCCTGATGGCTTGCCACCTTCCTTATTGAAAACTTGTTGTTATGTTATATCCCGTCCACTGCATATTATCTTTAATGTTTCACTTCATAATGGAATGTTTCCTAATTACTGGAAATCAAGTTTTACTGTACCGATTTACAAATCAAGCGACAAATCAAATGTAACTAATTACAGGCCAATATGCATTCAAAGTGTGATTCCTAAACTCTTTGATAGTATTATTACAAAGTATTTATCGAAACTGCTTGATCCTTTCATCATAGATCAGCAGTTTGGTTTCCGCTCCAAAAAGTCCACTGAACTTAACTTGTTGATTGCTGTTGTTGATTACTTATCGAATGCCTTGGATTCTAATGATTAAGTTCATGCTATATACACTGATTTTTCAAAGGCATTCGACAGAGTTAACCACAATTGCTTGATTGGAAAGCTTAGTAACATTGGCATTGGTGGTAATCTTCTGAAACGGATCGAATGCTTTATAACAAACCGCATTCAAATTGTTCGTGTTTCTGGTTTCTTATCCTCTGGCTTTACCACTACAACTGGTGTCCCTCAAGGTTCACATTTGGGACCTCTACTTTTTAATATATATAACAATGACATCCAAAATTGTTTTAAGAATTCTCAGTTCCTTTGCTTTGCTGATGATTTAAAATTATTCATGCGTGTAAATTCCTTACATGATTGTATTTGCCTTCAAAAAGACTTGGATAACTTGATCCAATGGTGTAGTACTAATGGAATGGAATTAAATACAAGTAAATGTCATGCAATCAATTTCAACAGAAAACATAGTCCTATTGAATATATCTATAAAATCAATGACATAACACTGGATACTATTACAGAGGTAAAAGATTTGGGTATGATATTAGACTCCACCCTTTCTTTTCAAACTCATATAACGGCCTCAGTTAATAAAGCATTAAGAATGTTGGGTTTCCTTAGAAGAACTACTTCTGATTTTCATAATGTGATGTGTTTAAAGATTCTTTATTGTGCCTTAGTTAGACTTTATATTGAATATGCTTCTTCTGTATGGAATCCTTTTTATGTATATCTAATCCATAATATAGAACAGGTTCAAAGAAAATTTTTACGCATTGTTGCCTTTAAATCGGGTATTGTCCCGGTCAACTTCAGATACAATTACGACGAATTACACACACTTTGTCATCTTGAGACCCTTCTGAGCAGAAGAAACCAAAGGGATCTTAAAATATTGTTTAACATTATTAACTCATCTGCCGATTGTCCATATTTGTTATACCAAATTGGATTTTCTGTACCCTCTAGAGTAACTAGGAATATTAATACATTCTCTCAACCTTTTCATAGAACAAATTATGGTTCTCACTCTTTTATTCCTAGAGTAACAAGATCTGCTAACAGACTAAATGTAGAATGGATAATAATTTGCTTGCAACTCAAGACTGTAGTAAAACACAGAGTCTCTTTTTGTTAGAAAGAAAGAACAACTCATTATTTACCTCATCTTTCTGTTGGTAAATTAGAACAATTTTTAATGCATTACTTAAAGATGTAAACAATTTTCTTCATTCAAGCCCAAACCTAATTGAACTGATTCCTAAATTCTGTTTCCATTTAGGTTAGGAAACATTGAAATTAACGCAGATATTAAGAAAGTATTTTTACAAAGCAGTATTCCATCATAAGACAGAGACTCTTTAAGATTTTTCTGGAGAAAAAAGTGAAAAAGTTATAAGAATGATAAAAGAAATGATCGTCATTGCAGGTTAATCTTTGGCTTTTGGTCGTCTTTACTAGCTGCTACCATAAATATAGATTAATCACATGCTCTTTAATGTTTTCACGAAAATGCTCCAAAATAAAATTGATCCCATCGTTCTGGTTGATAATTGTGTAACCAGCGTCAATACAACCAAAGAGTTAGAACGTTTCATGTCAAAATCAAAACAAGTATTGTCCAAGAGCAAATTCAATTAACACAGCAAATAATGACATCGAGAGTGAAACAACCGTTTTAGAAATACTGTGGAATGCAACTAAAGATTATTTGCATAGTGATTTAAATGACTTGCGTTCTACTTTCTGTAACACACAAAATTTGATCCTATTGGTTTTACCATGCCTGTAACTTTAACAAGTAAACTTATATTTGGGAGAGTTAGTTTATACGAAAAATGCACATCAAAAGCAGCTACTGGAAGAGGTACGTTGGACTAGAGCGACGAAACCACGAAGTTTATCATTATCAGGTCAATGAAAAGGCCGCCGAAGTAGCCCGGGTCAGCGATAATGCCATAAAAGGCTCCGAATCCTTCTGTGGAGTTGCTAAGGCATTGTGCAATAATGCATGGATGTAAAAAGAGTCCTAAGAATGATGGAACAACTATCCAGGATTGAGACAGGCCAAAGAGTTTATGAAGGAACCGTTGGTCAAGTTCAGGAAAGATCTATTGGATCAAAAACGAGAAATCGTTAGGATAACAGTTGGCCTTCTTACTGGATACCTCGCCTTAGAAGATACAATGAAATGAGTATCATCGATACAACAGAGGAAGCAACATCAATATCAATACACATTCTGTGCCTGTGTAGAAGCTTGGTTACATTGAGGTTTTTAACACTAGGTGAAGAAACTGATAAATATTTTTTGGAAACATAACCATTTGTAATTATTTTAGTGGCTGTTTGTGAGTGCTAGTATTAACCATAATATTATTTTAATACTAATTTGCTTCTAAATATGTAATTAAATGGGTAAATAGAAGTTTTCATAGACATGTATTCATTGTTTTTACAAAAATAGGATTAAAAATTCTGGTGCTCAATTTTATCTAATTGAAAACAATGTGTTCGCCACTGCCTAATTAGTATCTAACAATGTAATTAGATATAAAATCATAAATACGCTTTTCATCGTTTTACATTTTTCCAACTGTTGTAAAGGTATAGACCATGTTTAAAAATTTTATAAGTGATTCGGAATCCATTGGCGGTAAGATTTAATTACTTTTTATTTTTTAAATTAAAAATTCATATCAATATCGTCATTAGTTAAGTCCCAACGTCTCTAAGATAATTATTGAATGTTTTTTTTTTATGAAATAATAAATTAAAGAGTGTGAAAAATCACTTATGCATAAGTGATGGACAATATTTTTCCTACAATCACAAAATATTTTTATCAAAAAATGTATAACCAGGAAATCTGACTCGAGGGTTCAATCAAGATGTGGCTGGTTCAAGAATTTTTATGTTTCACGAGTAATGTTTTGCGGAAATAAAAAACATTATGATTCTTTTTACACTTTCATAGGATGATAAAGACAAAATAATATTAGGCACAAAAAATATTAGATTACAATAATGTTTTTCTACGATCACTATCCTAAGTAGGCTGTTGCGCTTCGAAATTCAACCGCAAAGTTGACGTTTTTTGCGCGAACTGACATTAAATGACAGCTTTGTCGATCGCCGAGCGAAAAACTTGACAGCTTTGTCGCTTGCATAATTTAAATTAGATATAATAATATTTATTTGCAACTTTCCCCAAATTTTAAGTCAGCCAAATTTCTAACTGCTCTCTTTTGTTTTAGAAACAGTGTGACTATGTGTACCACCCCAAAAAATGATACCATAGGTTAATAAAATAAACATTTTCATAATAAGCTATTATAGGTGTATTTTTCTTGACTTCTTTTTTTAATTCTCTTAAGAACTAACAAGTTCGACTCAGTTTACCACAAAGAAGTTGTACATGGTCCGACCAGTTTATATGGACATCTATTGAAACACCTAAAAATTTAGTTTTTGACGAAAATTTGATGATTTTGTCGTTTATTGCAATTTCTTTTGGGTTCACAGATTCATTACGATGGTGTCTAAACAGTACACATTGGATTTTAACTAAATTCATTAGCAATAAATTATCTTGAAACCATTATTACAGAAACGCTAAAAACAGTTTATTTGTAACAAAATTTAAATCTTTATCAACTACCAGTAAATTGGTATCATCAGCATAGTTTGTTAACGTTATATTAGTCATTTACAAAACTGGTCAAATCGTTAAGTTAGGTACTATAAAAACAAAATTGGTAAATTTTTGAATCCGAAACATGATTTGTAAAATTTGCAGTAACATTTGCTTTTTAAAAACGATTACTCAAATAAATATTGAAACAGTTGTATGCTTATCCCCGGATTTTCATTTTCTCCATTTTATTCAGTAATGTTTTTTGGTGCACACAGTCAAATGCTTTCGAGATTTCCAAGAGCATTCCTAGTGTTTACCTTCATCGAGAGCATCGAGAATTATACTTAGAAAACTGAAGGTAGCAGGAGAAGTAGATTTCGATTTTTAAAATCCATGTTGGTTTTTTTACAATGACGTTCGAATTCAAAAATGAGATCAATATTGTAGACATAGAAAGATATTTCAAATATTTTTGAAAAACTTGAAAGAAGACTAATTGGTTTATATTTTTTTAAAAAGAGGCTTTACTACTACCACTTTTAATATTGATGGGAAGACTCCGTTAATGAATGAATTATTTACAATATATGTGGAAAATGTATATATTTAGTTTATTCTCTAAACATTTATAGAAGTGCTGCAGTAAGTTGTACAAAATAACCGGAAAAAAGCCTATAATAACTAGATAGAAAAGTCATGTGTTGGACACATCAGATTTTTTGAATTATTGATTCCTTTCTCTTCATGAATTATTCCATATAGTTTTTTTTTTTATTATTATTGGACTATATAATTTTCTCTCGTAACAATAGATTTGAGTAATATGTTTTATATTCAGTTTAAGCTTCTTTAAAAATTTGATCTTGAATACACATTTCAAATTAGAAGTTTAAGGTTTACTTTGCTGCAGCAATCTCTTTAGACATCCACCTTGATTTTTTATTTTGTTGATTTTTGACTAACTAAGAGGAAACGATGTAATAAAATGAGTAGAAAGTAATCTAATAAAATTATTATATCCCTCATCCACTGTTTCTGCTTTATATACCTGTAACCAAGTTTCATTGTTTAATAGATTAAAAAAAATTATTATAATTTGCATTACTAAAAAAAAAAAAAACGTTTTGGACTATAAGAACTTTCAGAAGAGTTACACTCCACATACGTTATATCCCCTGAAAAATCAGCCATTGTATTTTTTACTAGACATCGATTAAACACACCAGACACAATAATTACTCTATGAGGAATTGATGTTTCTATAAAAAATCTGATGTGTCCAACACATGACTTTCCTATCTAGTTATTACAGGCTTTTTCAGGTTATTTTGTACAACCTATTGCAGCACCTCTATAAATGTTTAGAGGATAAACTAAATATATACATTGTCCACATACATCTACCGCGAAACATTTTTCTATAGATATTCATTGAAAATGAAAATACTGAAAAATTTAAATTTAGCACTTTTCCTACAATTTTTCCATTACGGTCCATTTTAAAAAAATCATGTATGAACAAATATTATAGAGATCGATATCGCAAACAACTTTTATTTCAACAATTTTCATAAAAATCAGAATTTTGCACATTTTGTCAAATTTTTCGAATACGGACCATTTCAGGAAATTTTTACATAAAACAAAAATTATAGATAATAATATTAGAAGTAACTTTTATTTGAACAATTTTTTCTCCAAACATAAATAACAGATATATTTATAAAAACGACCTCCCATAAAGTACCCCCCCAGATGTTCCGACTTTGTCCAAAATCTAATCATTTCACGTCAGGCCGAAATAAAACTTAAGTTTAAAATTTAATGTTTTTTCTTTATCCGTTTTTGAGTTTTCTTCAAATTTCGAAATTTACACATTTTCTCAAATATCTCGAATACGGTCCATTTTAGAGAAATTATCTATTGGATAAAAATTATAGAGAATTATATTACAAACAACTTTTGTTTGAACAATTTTTATAAAAAAAAATATTTTTTTACATTTTGTCAAATTTCGCGAATACGGAATATTTTAGGAAAATTTTGTATATAACCAAAATTATAGATAATACAATAAGAAGTAAATTTCATTTAAAGAATTTTCTTCCCCAAACGTAAATAACAGATATATTCCATAAAATATAAAAATGACCACCTATAAAGTACCCCCCCAGATGTTCCGACTCTGCCCAAAATCTAATCAGCTCATTAGACGCTGGAACAAAGTTTGAAATTTGGTGTTTTTCCGTGTATCGGTTCATGAGTTATGCGTTATACAGACACACACACACACACACACACACACACACCACACACACCACACACACACACACACCACACACACACACACCACACACACACACACACACACACACACACACACACACACACACACACACACACACACACACACACACACACACACACACACACACACACACACACACACACACACACACACACACACACACACACACACACACACACACACACACACACACACACACACACACACACACACACACACACACACACACACACACACACACACACACACAAACACACACACACACACACACGCACACACACACACACACACACACACACATACACACACACACACACACACACACACACACACACACACACACACACACACACACACACACATACACACACACACACACACACACACACACAGACATCATCGCGAAAATAGTCAAAACGGATTCAGGGGACCTCAAAACGTAAAAATCCGTAAAAAACTCGAGGTCGAAAAAAATCATGATTTCTATACTTTCCTTATATCTATATACAGATAGGAAAGTAAAAAATGTTATAAATATCTGGGCGTCGCGCGTCGTCCTAGGTAATAAACTTTTATGGAATAAACATGTAGAGCATATTAAGAGTAAATTCGAAAAGGGAATTAATGTTAAAATGTGTCTCAAAAACCAAATGGGGTGCTGATCCTAATATCGCACTCCAATCCTATAGGGCATATATTCGGTCTATTATGATTATGGAAGTATTTTTTTGTATGGTAGTGCAGCAGAATGTCTCTTGCGTACCATAAATAAAATTCAATATAATGCTGTTAGAATTTGTCTTGGAGCTATAATATATTCCCCTGTTCAAGCTCTTCTAGTGGAAGCTCAAGAACCACCCTTATAAATCAGACGTAACTATCTAGCGTCCAAAGAAATTAATAAAACTGGAAAGTTTTTATTTTGACAGCTCTATTCAAAAGACTAGTCATCATCTAGCAATAAATAATCTTACTTCTAATTATTGGAATTCTAGAAAATGTACCTTACTAGCGAATTCCTTTATAAAAGAAAAAACAGAACCATGCCACAAACATAATAAATTTCCAATTTACAACCTTCATTTCGACGCTTTGACGTTTAAACCAACCGTGATTATGCCAGAATACAGTGAATTTCATTCACTAAATAAAACACTCCTTCTATCCGCCTTGACTTGTTACAATAACCATCTTCACATTTATACAGATGGATCGAAATCAGTTTCTTTAGATTTTTCTTTCTTGCATTTCTCATCTTGTCTGATTTCCGCCTCTTTTTTCTCTCTTCTTTCTTCTTTGTGTTGTCAATTTTCTGCCATTCTTTCTTCTAAATTTGAATGATTTTCTAAATAACGTGTTTTTATGCCTTCAGAATCTGTTTTATATATTTCGAGTGGAAATAACCTCTGAAATGGTCGAATCAGGTTCTTATTCATAGTTTTTACTTTAGCTACATTTTATCTTTTCCTGGATATACTTAAATTATTTTTTCTAAAGGCCAGTCTCCACGTTTTATACTATCATTTCCTATATAAACTACATCACCAACCTTTAGGGTACTTTGTTTTCTTTGACCAACGTTGATTAGTTTAGCTAAGTATTCACTTCTGAATTGTCGCCTAATGTTGTCTCGAACTTTCTGTATATGTCTCACACGTTTAACTAAATATTATGTTCGATCAACAGCGACCAAATCAGGCACTTCACGTCT